TACCGCAAGTGCAAGGAAGCTGCAACTGACACTTAGTCGATGCTTACCGGAGATCGATGCACGCTTAGTTGACGGAACGCCGCGGGCCATACGGGAAAAAGTGGAAAGAGTAAAAGTCAGTTGTGGGGGGAACTTCGGGTTTACACAGGAAATGCTCGCGACGACATTGGATGGGCACGACATTTTACTGGGACGTGATTGGCTGCGACGATACAACCCGCGAATCGACTGGACGACGGGTAGCTGCACTGTGCGAAGTAGCGGTAACTGGGTGGAACTACCTCGCTAGCAGTCGCCTGAGTCTTCAACGGTCCACGTCAACGCCATCACGATGAAACGGGCTGTCGCCGTTGGAGCTGACTGTTGAAATTATATTTATATACCCTGCTTGCTGCATAGGTGTAGTGTAGTTACATTCTTGGTGGTGCACCCTCTCTTGCCATGCTTTGCTTGTACTTGTTTGTTCCCCTCGATAGTTCAATTCTCTTTTTGCCTACTCATCTCACGCCATCCTAAGCTTAAGTCCTAAACCTTGAGCACCTAAACTTAACATGATATCAGAGTGTGGTCCCTCCTAGGACCTAGTTTTGATGGGCCCACCAAAGCCGCCATCGACCTTGGCGGCCTATTCTGCTGCTGGCGTGGCTGCTACTGCTTGTCGCGCGAAATTCGTTGCTGGCGCGAAATCCGCTGCTTTTGCAGCACCCGTCGCGCTGCCCCCGTTCGCCTACCCGTCGTCTGCCCCGTCGCGGCCTTGCTCGTTGGCTACGCTGCTACTGCTGCGCCTTCGCCGCGGCCCCATGCACCCCCAATGCGCTTCCCCACCCGTCCCGGCCCTGCATGCTTGCGTGGGCGATCGAAGTGAGAGGGAGGAAGGGGGGACGGGGGTGGCGAGTTGCCGGCAGCGACCGACCACGTCAGCGCCAACGGCAGTCGTTGGCGCCCTCGCCAGCGCCATCCCGCTCCCCGCCTTCTTCTCTGCAGCGCCCTGCCCATGCGGACGTTGTGAAGGGGAGGTGGCGGGGCTGGAGGCCGCGGCTATGGGGGTACTCCAGCCCCCCTGACTCCTCGCCCCTCCATTTCCTCCTCCGCGCCGTTGCATCTGCCGCGTTGGGGGGGGGGGGGGGGTGCGGGGGGATGAGGGTGTGGCGGGAGGTACTCTGCAGCACCAGCCTGCGGCCCTTCTCTTCCCTATCTCTCGTGCCCGTGTTTACGGTCGTGAGGGGGGGGGATGAGGGGGTGGCGGGGATGACCAGCAAACCGCCACATCAGCACTCCTCTCCTCACTCCAGCAGCCGCCTCTCCACTCCTCCTCCTCATGCTTCTCTCCCTTCCGCTGTGCCCACATTTCCAGCCTCTCCTCTCCTCTCTCCTCTCCTCCAGCCGCCTCCTCCTCCGCTCGTTTGCTCCTCCAGCCGTCTCCGCCGTTGTAGGGAGAGGTTGGAGGGGGGTGACCGTCGTGAAGCCAGCAGCGCCAGTCGCCAGTGAGCCCGTTGCTCCAGTCGCCCGTGGGTCAGTTGCTCTAGCCGTACGAGCGGGATGCTCCAGGCGTACGAGCCCGTTACCCCAGTAGCCCGTGAGCCAGTTGCTCCAGTTGCCAGTGTGTAAGTAGCTTTAGCCGCCGCCCCCCACCTCCTCTCCTCTTTCTCTCTCTCTCCTCACTTCTTTCTCCTTGGTGTACCCCTTAAGGGGGTGTGTTCCTGCAATAGTTCCTGCTGCAAGCAGGTTAAGGGGGTGTGTTGAAATTATATTTATATACCCTGCTTGCTGCATAGGTGTAGTGTAGTTACATTCTTGGTGGTGCACCCTCTCTTGCCATGCTTTGCTTGTACTTGTTTGTTCCCCTCGATAGTTCAATTCTCTTTTTGCCTACTCATCTCACGCCATCCTAAGCTTAAGTCCTAAACCTTGAGCACCTAAACTTAACACTGACGTGTACGCGGTGGATATCGCGATAGTAGAAGAAGCGGACAAACCGAGTGATTTTCAGAAACTACTGGCGGCAATACCATCGGAACTACAGGAACTGTTGAAACGATTCCCGGGGATCTTCCCCGATGACTTACCAGAGGGACTGCCACCTCGTCGGGCGCACGATCACCGAATAGAATTAGAGCCCGGGGCACAACCAACCGTACAACGACAGTTCAGACTGACACAGCCCGAGCTCGATGAGCTGAGGAAGGTACCATCACAGCCCTAAATTTCCTTTTCCTTACGTCGCGTCCCTGCTCAGCGCGTACACCACTGACAGCACCCCACATTATTCCGTTACCACTCGCGACATTCGCCTCGACACCATTCTCGCCACTGTTCACGATGCGACCCAACCTCACGGTTCGGTTGGTAACCCGCGCTCCGGACCTCCGCCTCGACAGTTCCCCAACCTCGGCACCAGGCCCGTCGCGCACCTCATTTTCCCACGTTACCGTTACCACCGTAGTTTCGCTATATATTCTTCGCTCATTCCTTCGCTCATTGTATTCTTGTCTCGATAGTGCAATCCTCGCTCGCTCACCTAATTGCACTCGTAACAAGTAGCTATTGTAATGTATGTAACGAGTTACAGCTGAATCATAGGACAGAGTTACATTGCGGAATTTTAATAGGTGTTCCATCCAGTGTTTCGTATGGAACCGAAATTTCTAGCGGTCCATTGTTTGAATCAATTGAAACTTGGCAGTCGTTGACTGAGGATCGTACAAGGGGCAGTGGGTGTGAGATCTTTCCGGTGTTGGGTTTGCATTGCATGTCGTGTTAGCGTATTGTTGCTCGTCCCACAGTACTGTTATACAACCGACAGATTTCAAAAACCTGCCCACTTTCTATGGAATGTGTGAACTCGACGGGCCAACATCCTAGGCATGCAAAAAAGTCTGGTAACCCTATGCAGTTGAATGCAAAACTGTCGATACCCCAGTTCTGCTGCGCAAGTTTGTCTGGTACCGCCACTCAAAACACTGTGTAGCAGCTGACGCAGCACAAATAGGAAGAAATATGTGGAGAAATCTATGGCGTTTTCGATTTCGTATTATTATGGTTTTTACCGCGCTCAGTTTGGTGCCAAATAACTATTCCTGCGAGCAACTATTTTCCGCTTAACGTGCACGATACATTTAATGGAAAATTCAGGGATTGGTCAGGGCAGGGCAGAAAAACATAAAACCCCGAATGACCTGGACGCATTTCCGGGAGGGATCAACCCTAAACACGGGAAATGACATTTTATTGGGGTTGATGCCTCCCCGAGTCGCATTTCTTTCCGATTGGTTTTTTATTTTTTTCTTGGGTCAATTGGCAGCAATACTGAACATTATTGCTCATCTGGCAGAAACTGTTGCCCGACGAAATATTAGTTGAACGCAAATCAAAGCGCGGAACAATTGTTAACGGAATTAAAAACAAACACGTTAGTAGAGCAATATGTCAATACCTCCAAAATTAAGGTATCGACGGTTTTGCATACAACTGCATAGGGGTACCGTACTGTTTAGCATGCCAGTGAAGTTTGCATGACTGTACGTAAATCAACAATCATCTCAATTGCTGCTTTGTGGAATGGTTGATTGATGCCTCACAGCACAATGCTCAATTATTCGAATGTTCGTGACCTTGACACCAGAATGTTTGGATGTTGCAGAACCTGGTTGAGTACTGACACGTTTTTTAAGGAACCCACGCGTAGTAGGGCAAAAATTAGGGTCGAAATCAAGCCCTGGTCTAGGTTTGTGCACCCGAAATCCATTTTGTTCGGTTCTGGTGGTACTTCCTCACCAAATAGGAAACGTGCTCCAAACAAAACTATGTACTATGTTCTTCCCGCCATACAAACCTACCACAACAATGTGTGCTCCAAGAAAGTGTTTTGTAGCAATCTCGTTTTCTGCACGCACTCTGACAGCGTGGCAAAGACCACGCGACGCGGAAATGAGATCAGTGATGATTATTTGGGTAAGATACACACTAGCACGAGCAGCCTAGCCCTGAAACCCTCTGAAGAGCTCCTTGAATATATTAAACAATGTTGGCGTGATTTAGTGGTCTGTAGTCCAATAGTTTGGTTATGGTTTAGCCATTTCTTTTTATTTTGCGAAAAGTGGTTTCGTACTAAAAATCCTAAACAGCCTCCATTTAGGTATTGTACCCTCCTCTTGCGAATGTTTCCACGACGACGCCCGAAATCGTACTCCCGCTGACTAGATTTCAGCTTCCAGACCGCCCGCCACCCAACCAACCAGCAAAAGCTGCATGTGTTGCAAGTGATGCAACGTGACGGTTGACGCCCGACGCCCAACCTACCAGCTGTATCTTTCCTCAGTTACTGTACACTGTGCGTAAAATACACCAGCTCACTGCAACATGGCATGGCGTGGCGTGGCGTGGGCGTGGCCCCGTTCTCTCTGCTTGCCCAGTGCCCACGCGAGTCCTCCTCGACACGACCCCCCCAACCGACCCTAGCTTCCTTGCTCTGCTCTTGCACCTTCTCAAGTGCAGCCTTCTCCCCTCTGGGAGTTCCGTTACATTCACAAATTCATTCTGTAATTTACGATCACCAACAAGCACAACCTGCTGATATTCCTCAACCCACTCAACCTCGAGCAGTCTACCTCCCATACCCACTACTACTCCCCCATGTAGCCACAGACCCCCCTCTCCTGAAAATGCAAGGAACGCATGGAGACGACGAGGTGCGAAGCCGAGTATAGTTGAAAGGGATAGGGAAAGAATAAACGTATAGTTGTGTCAGCGTCGCAATAGTCGTCATCGTCGTAGGCATTCTCCCAACCGAGTCTACACTAGGCATTTGAATGCAGGCATCTGCGCCCGCAGAGCATTTCAACCCAACCTTTCTCTACACTCCAGCAAACCACACCACTCCGCAGCATCCCCGCCACTCCCTTCTCTTCCTCTCAGTCACCCGTGTATTCATTCTTTCTCTTCCAGACGCCCTGCTCGTCTCAGCCCACAGGCAACCTAGTCTCTAGACGCCCTGTCGTTAGATGGCTCTTGTCGAAACTTCGCGACTCGTGCCGCAGTCAAACTCGACAACGCCCGCTGCTCCTTGCCGCCACGGATCCTCGTCCACTCTCCCCGACACTTTCCGCGAAGGTTCCCGTCCGCACGTCGCGACCGTTGCGGCTGCTACAGCCGCTGCTGGAAGTTTCGCCATTACAGCCGCTGTTTCCGACGCTGCTGCCGCGTCGTCTCAAGTCATGTCGCCGTCGCCGCCAGTAGGCAGCTGCAGGGATCGCACGCCGTCGCCTTGTCGCCTGGCGACGGAGTCGCACGACCCGGCGACGGAGAACCACATCCCGGACAATGCCGCCGCGGTCGCCGCCGCGACTCACGGGCATCAGCCCACGTGCGTCCCGCCTATGCACTTCGCCCTTCGCGCGTCCACGTCGGCGCCACATCCGCATGCCACGTCACACCCGGAGGGTTCGAGCGGGATCTCCGCCGCACCCAAAGGAGACCGTAGCAGCCGCAGTCCTGAGAAACGTCGCAACTCGATGTCGGGCCGCCCACGAAACATTTCACCACTATGGTACCCTCACGGGGCCTCTTCGATCTCGACAGCGTCTGGCGTAGCGGCAGAGGCGGCGGCAGATGTGGCGGTGAAGCGGCGGGCCAGCATCACTTTGTCCCCTTCGCCCATAGCGGTGTCTGCTCCCATTGGCGCTTCCCCCGCGCGGTCCTCCTCCGCGCGCGCGCTCTGGCACCGACGCCACCACGCCCAGGAAAGCGCGGGGGCGGAAGCGGCGGGCGACAGGAAGCCGCCGGGCATTGACTCCGCCGACAGCCCCGCGGATTCCCCTTCCTCTTCTTCCCCCTCCACCTCCGCCCGTCGTTTCCTCCGCTTGCTTTCCTCGCGAGCCGGTCTCCTCTCCCCGTCCGCCTCTTCCGGTCGTTCCGCTACCCGCGCGCCGTCCGCCGACGGCGCGTCCGCTGACATCAGCAGTCGCAGCAGCAGCACGCCGCGGGAAGGGTGGGGAAAATTAGAGGCGGTGGGGAGTTTCCGTAAAGGGTCAAGGGGCAGTGCGCGGGGGAACGAGGAGGGCGGCGGAGCGTCCGCGGGAGCATCAAGCGCAGCGTCGGGAGGAGAGGGACAGAGCACCGGACGCTGGGGCGGCAAGGGCGCGGGTGCGGGTGCCGGGGTGGGCACGGGCGGGGGTGCGGGCGTGGGCGGATTACTCTCCCCGCTGGCCAAGGGAAGGTCCCGTAGCCCGCTGTCAATGGTTCATTATTATCACCACTCTCGCGACAGTCACATTCACGACCACGACGCCGACGCGGCGTCGCACTCGTACCAGCCCGCGTTCCTCAGTCCCCGCGACGCGAGTAACGCCGCCGCAGCCGCCGCCGCCGCCAGCGCTGCTGCTGCGAGCAGCGGCGGCGGCGGTAGCGCGGGGGGCAACGGGAGGATCCACAGGGGCGGGAAGATCCCCGCGCGGGGGAGCATGGTGAGCAAATCGTCCCCGCTCTCCCCTCCTCCTTCCGCCTCCGCGCCGTCCTTCTCCCTCGCGCGGCTCATGGCGCGCTCCATCTCGAACATCGAGCGCCGCTCCACGTCACTCAACGACGCTGCTGACGCGGCACTCGCGGCGGCGTCCGCCGCGGGGATTGTGGTTCCCGGGCCGCCAGGGGTTTGCGCACCTGGCGGCGCGCCAGGCGCGGTGATGGCAGGAGGAGCAGAAGTTACGGAAGGGGCGACGAGCTCTAGCGCCAACGGCGGCGGCGGCAGCAGTGGCTTCAGTCGCTTGCTGAGTGCCAAGAACCGTCTGAAAAGCCTCGTTATAGGGCCCTCCGTTACCACGTCTGCCACCACTTATGCAGAACACCCCCAAGTGCCTGTTCCCGCCTGCTCCTCCTCCTCTTCCTCTACCTACCCCCTCGCCTCCCCCACCCCCCTCCCGCCAGCCGCGGCGTTCGCCACGTCAGCATCGCCGCGCGTGATGCACGGGCCAATCAACGGCGACTTCGCGAAAGCGTCGTTTCTTCGCCCGTCCACGCCGGACCTCCCAATCCCCTCGCTCCTCCTCCTCGACCCGGCGATCGCTTGCTCCGTCCTCGCCGCCTCACCCGAGCCGTTGCTTCTCGTAGATCAACGGTCAGCGTGCATTGTTGCTGCGAGCGCGGGCGTGGTCTCAGCTTTAGGGTTCGAGTCTCCTAAAGAACTAGTCGATCGGTGTTTCTTCGATTTATTGGACTACGTGAAGCACGCGGAGTGGGATAAGGCGGCTGCTGCGGCAGCCGCTACGGGAACGTCCGCAGGCTCCGTTTCGTTAAGAATGCGATTTATAAAGAGCGACCGCAAGGGGTCTTTAGTGGGTCAGAGGGTGCAGGTGGTGCTGCAGCTGCCGCCGCCCGCTGCCACCGCCGCTACAGCCGCTACAGCCGCCGCCGCCGCTGCCGCCAGCGCGTCGTCGCCGGCGGCGGCGGCGGCGGCCGCGACAGCCGCGGCGGCAGCGTCGCAGGCGCCTCTGCTGGTGTCGCTCGCGCCGGTTGCGGCGATCGAGGCGAGTCTGTCGGCCGCGTCGTCCTCTCTGGCCTCCACTCCCCACCCGCAACTTTCGGAGCACGAGCGGTTCGGTGAGCCGGCAGTAGTGACGGGAGAAGGAGGAGCGGAAGGAGGAGGTAACGACGATGGTGACGATTGCAGTGATGGTGATGGGGAGGAAAGTGGAGGGTTGGACGAGCGCGGGGTGGGCGCCGCGGGGGGTTTCCGCTTCTCCATGCGCCTGCGCATGAATACGGAGGACGACTGGGGGGACGATGAGAAGGACGCAGTGGTACTGGGGGAAGAGGAGGAGGATGATGGTACTGGGCGGGGTAGATTGGACGGTAGCGCAGCGTATGAGGATGATGATAATCTGGACGTGTTAGGCGGAGACGACGAGTGCGCGTGGGGGCGGGGGGGACGCGCGGATGGGTCGTCCATAGGCGGGGGGGCGGGGAGGGGCGCGCGGGGGGAGCGGGGCGGGAGAGGAGGGAGCAGTGGGAGAGGGGGGAGCAGCGGGGAGGAAGGGGAGGATGAGGAGGATGGGAGGTGGGAGGAGAGGCGGGAGGCGATGATATGGCATGGGGTATCGGACGGTATGCCATCGTTCCGGCTTCAAGCTATGGATGAGTTTCAACCAGACCACTTCACGCCTGCTCTCGCCCCTGCCTCTGCTGCTGCTGCTGGGGACGGTGGTGCTGGTGGCGACGGCAAGGGGAAGAGCAAGGGAGGGAAAGGGACGGGGCGGCAGGAGAAGGGGAGAGAGAGGAAGGAAGGCGAGGAGAGCGCTAGGAAGGCGTCTCCGCTGAAATGGCTCAAGGCGTCTCTGGGTCATTCGCAGCAGCGGCAGGAGGAGCAGGGGGAGGAGGCGGAGGCGGAGGAGGAAGAGGAAGAGGAGGAGGTGGAGGAGGCGGGGGCGAACAAGGGCGGTAAGGAAGGGAATGGGGAGAAGAGCGAGAAGGGAGTGGATCGGTCTGCGTCCCCCCATGCTGGGATCTTTAAGCGTATGTGGAGTATGGGGGGAGGGGCCGGGGGAGGAGAAGCAGGGGGAGTGGCAGCGCCTGGAGCAGGAGCAGGGGGGACTGGGGGGATAGGGGCTGGGGGAGGGGGAGGGGGTTTTGACGATATGGATGTGAGCTTTTGCAGCAGTACAGGGAGCAGCAGCACGAGTGGTGCTGGTCGCACTATTAGCACTGCTGCCATCACCATCAGCTCCTCCTCTTCCTCCTCCTCCTGCCACACTGTCACCCACGGGAATAGCGTAGCATTGTCCAAAAACAGCAGCAGCAGCAGCAGCAACACAACGACATGCATGCGTGTGCACATGAACAGTCACAGCACCAAGCAGTCAAGCCATTCCCATGGCTCCCATGTGTCTGTTGTCCCACTCCCCCACCCCCACAGCACCCGCACTGCCGCCCTCTCTTCTTCCTCCTCCTCCGCCACTGCCGCTGCTTCTACACCCTCCTCTTCGTCCCCTCCCGGCACGCGCATGCTCGTGAGCCTCTTAAGTCCCCGGATAGGGTCGGGGCGATCCATGGGTAGGGAGTCAGCAGCAGGCGGTGCTGACACTGGTAGTGGAACAGCAGCAGCTGTCGGGGAGGGTGAGAGGAGCGTCAGCAGCAGCAGCGGCAGTGGCAGTGGCAGTGGCAGGGTGCCGAGGACAGTGTCAGCAGGTGGGGAGGTGAGCAGGAGTGCGGGGGCCAGTGCAGGTGCAGCAGGCACACCCAAGAGCAGCGCCAGCAGCGGCTGGGGGCTCATGGGCTGGGGACGCGGAGGGGGAGGGGCAGGAGGAGCAGGAGACATCTCTGCAGCAGCAGGGGAAGCGGGGGGGGCAGGAGGAGCAGGAGGAGCAGGAGCAGCAGTGGGAGGAGTGGGGGTGTATGAGCGGAGGGAGGAGAGGATTCCAGCTTCTCCTGTGGCTGTGGTGTCTGGTGCTGATGGGGTGGTGCGCCTGGGGAATGGGCTGGAGGGCAAGAAATGGGTGGATATGAGGGGGTATGGGGGAGATTCTAAGGCGAGTAAGACTCTGTCTGGGCCGTTGGATCGGCCGAAGCGGAGAGATGGGGCGGGTAGGGGTCGGAGAGGGGGGTTTAGGGATGACAATGGGTTGGGGGTAGGTTTGGGAGGAGCGACACGTGGTGTTTCTACCGCTGCTGGTGGTGCTGTTGAGGAGGAGGAGGATGAGGAGGAGGGGGAGGAGGAGGAGGGAGGGAGCAGGAGTGTGGTGGGTAAGGTGATGCGTCGGTCTATCACTCTAGTGGTTGGGAAGAGGGAGGGTAAGGGAAAGCAAGAGGGTAGTGAGAAGATTGAGAGAATTGAAAAGAGTGAGCAGGTCAAGGGGCAGAGGGAGCAGCTGGTGTGTGGCAAGGGAGGGGAGGAGGGAGGGGGTGTGGGAGTCGGGAGGAAGTTGACGGATAAGGGGACGTGGGGAGGGTGGGCGGATGAGGGAGAAAAGGATGACTGGTTCTGGTGAAAGGGTTCCGGTGAAACGGGTTGGGCCAAATGGTTGCTTGTGTGAAAGGGAACATGTATGCCTGGCTGATCCAGTGCATGTTGTGATTTCTCAATGCCCGCACTGCACACTGACCCGTGTGCCTGTTTGTTGTTGACCTTGACTTTGTCTGTGACTTCGTGAGGTTCTTGTTTGTTCATTCCAATTTCCAACCGATACCAGTAGCTTCAGATTATGGTCAGATGTGGCAATTTGGCAAAACAGTTATTGTACTCTTGCTGTACTTCTGGCACATACCATGTGCGGTTTATGTAAGAACATGCTACTGTACTGTAGTCCTGTTGAAAATACCGTACATTTCTATGCACCATGTGTCAAATTGAAATACGGCTGTTGGGCTGAGAAGAAGCCCTTAGGATCTTTCAAGGCTAAGATCGGTTGAAGTACGGTAGTAGGGATGTTGTAATTGCGGAAGCGTTTTAATATCAGAGCTGCTGAACCACCTTGTACTAGTGTGTGAGAACAAGATATGTTGATAATAGCAGAGAAATACAAGGCTTTTTATATGATTACAAAGGAAAATGAAAAGTTCTACTTTAACTGTTTTTGCTGTTGCGGTTCGATACAGTGCCGACTCGGGTAACTGCTCACTATCGAGTCAGTTATGTGTCCTTGCTGTCGCACTGTATTTTTCGTCGAGTCAAAGGTCAGCGACCTTTGACCTCCGCGTAACCTCCAGCGGTTGCTTTTGTTGACTCGTGTTGCTTCACTTTAGTCTGCTTCGTTTCGTGTCGATACTTCAGAAGCGTTTTAAGTTACTTGTTTCCAACACTCCCCTTCGCTTCTAGAGTGTCGCTGCTGATGACGTGTCCTTGTCCAGTCAGCAGCATGCAGTACTCGAACTTCTGTTTTCCGAGTTTCTTGGTCAAGTAATCAGCTGCCATCTCGGATGTGGGACAGTAGGATAGCTCGAGTCTTCCCTTCTCGATTTCGTCTTTTACGAAGAAGTACCGGAGGGCGATGTGCTTCGTTCGATTCGCGAACCCATTTTTGTTCGCTATGCGAATGGCCGATTGGTTGTCGCAGAAGAGGGAGAAGCTGGGTAACTGAGCCAATTTTGCTTCCTCCAGTAATTTGCGAAGATATAGCCCTTCCTTGGTGGCTGAGCAGAGTGCGATATATTCTGCTTGTGCTGACGAGAGAGCGCTTAGCTCTTGCTTGTTCGACTGCCATGAGATAGGCCCGATAGGTTCGAGTCTGTAGATGTAGCCAGTTCGAGATCGTCTGTTGTCGGAGTCTCCAGCGTGATCGGCGTCGACGTAGCCGATTACTTAGGTGTAGTAGTTCCGGTCTTGTGGTAGGTTAGTCCAATCGTCGGAGTGCTGACGAGGTAGTGAAGTGCTCGGTCGAGTTCAAGCATGTATTCTGCTTCAGGGTTCTTGAGGTAGGTAGCGAGTTGACTAGCTGAGTAGGATAGATCCGGTCGGCAAGTAACGGCTGCGAAGAGTAGGCAGCCTAACTTTCGTTGGTAGTCGCGAATGCCGGCGGGTTTGAGTAGAGTGGAGGCTTTGCGATTTCCGTCAGTGTAGCGGTATGGCGTGGAGATGACGGTTGGAATGAGTCCGAATCGTTTCGCGATAGTGTCAGTGTATTTTTCGGCGCTGAGGTAGATTGCGTTGTCGCCGTCTTGAATGTTTAGTCCCAGGTACTGTGTCACGGTAGTTGCGACGGTGAGTGTGAGATTCTGCTGCAGCTCCCCTTCAAACCAGGTTGTTATGTCGTCGGTGGAGCCTATGTAGAGGAGGTCGTCTACGTAGACGGTGAGTATAATATAGTCAATACCCTTCGTAAGTTGGTACATCCCTTGGTCGTGCGGTAGTTGGAGGAATCCGATGCGGATTACACAGGCGTGAAGATGCTGCTGCCACAACCTCGGGGCTTGTTTGATGCCGTACAGAGATTTTTCCAGCTGACAAACTTGGTTGGGGTCTGCGTTGGACCCGTGCGGGAGTTCGAGGAAGATCTCAGCATCGATAGGGGTGTAGAGGAATGCGTTGGCGACATCGATTTGCCGAAGCTTCTTCCGGTTCATGGCGGCTATCGCGAGGAGAATCCGCAGTGAGTTATGTCGGCTCACTGGTGCAAATGTTTCCGTGAATTCTCGTCCTTGCTCTTGGTCGAATCTGTCAGAATGTTATTTTTGTCTAGCCTGCAGTGGGGTACTCAATAGTGAGTACAGCCCAATCTAGGGTTTCCTATATGTACTCAACTGCCTGCTAGTGCAAACCCTCTTTCTCGTTTCTAACTTGCAACTGTATTCTAACAGAATCCACGCACGACCCAGCGTGCTTTGAATTTGTCGATTGTTCCGTCGGCTTTTGTTTTCACGCGGAAAACCCATTTCCCCGTGAGGATGGTCTTGTTGCGTGCCACTCCGATAAGCACGACTTTCCAGGTGTTGCGTTCCTGCAGTGCCTTTAACTCTCTGTCCATGGCTTCGCGCCATTTTTCCTTGTGTTCCCCCCCCAGAGCCTGCTGAATGTTGGCAGGCTCCTTAGGCGGTGCTGCTCCGTGGACAGCGGTGACGAGTCCTAGTATCTGCAGTCCACTCTGTGTGTAGCGGGGGAGATTTGTGTCTTCGGGATAAGCTGCTTCATCTCCCGCTTCTGGATCCGAAAGGAAATTCGGTCCTATGAGTTCGGAGATGTTGGTGTCGACCGGTTGGGGTGTAACATAACCGATGTCGACGAAGTCGAAGTAGGTTTCGGCGTTGACACTTTCGCGAGGGTTGTCGTCGTCCATAGGGATGTTCACAGAGCAATACGGGAGAGGTCCGGCTTCTTCCGAAGCTCCGTCCACGTTTTGCTCGTCCCAGTCAGCTTCGTCTGCTGCTGAAGCGAAGGCTTTGCCACGGAAGCCGCCCGTGAGGTCTCGATTTGCTGCCAGGTTGTCCAGGTACGTTTGAAGTGTGAGTCGCTCGTAGAAAATGACATCACGTGCTGCTACTGTTTCCTTCGAGTGGACGTAAAAAATCTTCCATGCGTTGTAATGCTTTTCGATGCCCAGGTGTAGCCCCCACTGTGCGCGTTGGGAAAACCTTCCGGCTCTTGCAGTGTGCGGTTGGTACTGTACCATGCACCCAAAGACTCGTAACATTTTTGTGTTGCCCAGTTTTCCTGTCCACAGCAGGTGCGGTGATGCGTTGTTCGGGAGCGATGATTACGATAGCAAGTTGTATAGCATGACAGCGTGGTCCATCGCCTCAGGCCACTGGTGGTTGGGCAGTCGCATGCCACGCAACAGTTTGCGCATGGTGTTCTGGAGAGTTCTGTTCATCCGTTCTGCCACGCCTTGCTGTTGATGGGCGTAGGGAAGCAAGATGAGTCGCTTGATGCCTCGTTCTGCGAGGTACTGCCTGAACCTTTGTGACTGATATTCCCCTCCTCCGTCAGTCTAGAAGCTTTTAAGCTTTGCTCCTGACTCTCGTTCTGCCACAGGTAGCCAGGCGACGAAGGCTTCGAAGGCCATGTCGCGACTTGGGAGGTTGAGGTGCCAGACGTAACGGGTGGCGGCGTCGATGAAAGTAATCACATAGTTGTATGCTTATTGACCTTGTTCGTGAGTATACCGAATTTCGCTGTATACTTTCTCCAGTGGTGCGTAGGCTAGCGCGCTTGGATTGTGGTGAGAGACGAACGGTTGATGGGGTAAGTCGGCTTCGGGACAGGTAAAGCATGTTCCTCGGACTCGCTGAAGCTCTCTGCCGTCGGGTAGGAGTAAGGAATCTTTGTCGAGTACTGCTGCCTTGATTGTGTTGTTTAACGTAGTGTTGCTTGGATGACCCAGTCTTTCATGCCACAGTGATTCGCTCGCACGATGTCCGGGTGAGCGCCTGTACAGGTCGGAGTTGGAGTAAAATCTCGCGGTGAGGTTGGCGCTTCTGTGAACTTCGTGTGGAGTGGGATTTAACTGCTGCGCAGGAGTTGGTGGAGTGTCGTCGATGAGAACTGGTGTCATTGAAGGGCCCGCGATTGGTGCCGTAAGTGTTGCTGCTGCTACCGATGTTGTATCCGCTGCTGTTGATGTTGTCTCTTCTTGCCGGATTGTTGCTAATGCTCGTGTTCTTTCTGCTTCAGGTATGGTATGTGAATACCAAAATCCTCCAGGACTGAAGTCGGGATCGAGGTCGGGTGGATGTGTCCAAGAAGTGAAGTTGACGATGGCGTCGCTGTCGGCGGTACCTTGGTCCGGAACGAAGTCAAGAACGAAGACGTTGTTCTTCAAGACTGCTTTGCCGATTCCGTGGAATAACTTGAACTCGTGAGTGGTGCTGTCTGCTTCGAGACCCTTCGCCATCAGTTGACTGACGCTGAGTAAGTTGTAGCCGAGCCCTTCTGCGATTAGAACCTTAGACATTTGTAAAATAACATTAGTTTCTCGAGACTAAAGTTGCATGATCCCTTGTCGTCGTGTGTGCAGGTTCTAGTTGTTGGCGACGGTGATTACAACTTCGCGCTGAAGTTGATGTTCCTGTTGAACGAAGCGACCTGAGGAGCACATGTGCTGTCCGCAGCAACTGTCCAAGAACCAAGTGTCCTTCCCGGACGGCACGCTCTGGGCGATGGCTGCATACGTCGGGTTGGGCTCCAGTGATTCGCGGCGAGGAGTCCTCTCATCGAGCTGTTCTTCTGGTGAGTAGTGGGGTGGTGATCCGGTGATGCAGGAGTCTGTCGTTCTTGTCATGCAGCTCACGATGTTTCTTGTTCCTTGTGCAGGTTTTGTCGTTGAAGGCGTTGAAGACTGTACTTGATTGGTGGGATGCGCCTGCGTAGAAGCTACTTGACTGCTTGAGGGTCGAAGTTGACGTTGCGGCGAAGTCGACTTCTGTTGATTCGGGCAGTGTGTGTGTGGATGTCCGGACGTCTCGCAAAGATGACAGAACGGTGGAACGTACTGTTGTACTTGTCGGTTGTTTTGTCGGTTGTTGTTGTTGTTGTAGCGTCGTTGAGTGTGAAACGCGA